ATGTGGATGGCGCCAATGATCTGCATTGGATGGCGCACATGACGTGAAATAAATATTTCTAAACATTAAACGGAAGCCAAGAGTAACGAGTAACGTTTGTTTTAAAAACGTAAGGAATAGAAAGTACAGATACTTGTGTGACAATGTAATGAGTAGAAGTCAGAAGTAGGAAGAAAAATAAGTAAATGAGTAAAGTATAGATACCTAAAAAGTGTACTTAAGTACAGTAATGAAGTATGTGTACTTCATTACTTGACACCTCTGAAGTAGGATCAGAGTTTTACTCTGCTATGACTGCAGAGCCACTACTGCCTCTATGGCTCACTTCATTAATTAAAAGGTGAACTATTCCCCTGTTTCTTTATTTTTCTTCATACCTTGTTTCTGTGCCCCCATGAAAAAAACATTGGTCCCACCCTGGCTTCCCTTGTAAATCTGGTGTATAACCACCACTGCTTTGGAAGCTCTTAGAAACTGGAGGAGTTACAGAAATCGACAGCTCAGGTGTGAAAGTCTGTTGGCAAGATAAGGCTTAGATTAGTTTCACTAAATGTTCACTAGACAAAATGTGGCCTTCATGTTAGAACAGGGACGTTCTGCCAGAAAACATACAGTGTAATCTGACACTAAGTGGCTCTATCTTTAATATTTTATAATAAAACGGTCTAATATCAGTTTATGCAATTGATAGGGCTCACTGTTAAGTCCTTTTTTACAGACTTCAGAGCCAGTTGAAGATCTCTTCCCCTGCCGAGGCTGTAAATATTTAGGGATGAATGTGGTGTTACCTACTAATCCAAAAGGAATGTATGCACCATTGCAGTATTTTGAATTTTGCCACTACTCCATTTATTTTTTTAAATAATGACTGACTTTCCTTGTTTGCACCATTTAGCGTTTTCTACTCGTATTTTAATCCGTCCATCTTCTATACTCACATAATTCATGAATTATCATATTAGAGGGTTGTTGACTAAAACCTCCTTCATTGCATGAGAGGTGGGATACAATCAGTGCCACACAGGACAACACATCTGCTCTTTGATGAAGCGATATACCTGCTTCCAGGTTTCAGGTTGCATAAAAAACTCCTTAAAGCGTTGAGTGAATTATCGTAAGATATCTCCCAAATTTTTGTGTACATACGCACAAAGGGAATTGTGGACAATTACAGTCATAAGAGCTTTGTGTGCAAAGTCTTTTCATGTCCTGTGCTGTGGGTCGGTACTTTCCCAGGATAAAGTGAAACATATGTGATGTAGATCTTCTAGAAAGCCATGCAGCTGTTTTGGAAACAGAATATATTGATGCAAGCAAAAGATAAAAAAAATGCGTTCATAGAAGGGTTACATTTCTTATGAACAAAAGCTCTTAGCTGTCTAATCTTTTCTCATTATACTGTACACTGGTGGTCTTCTAGAAGTTTCCACCAATCCTAAAGGATACTAATACATACTAACTAGAGTGGCAATAGGTGACGAAAAATAATTTTTGTATTCTTATTCGCATTATCATAATTGTAATGTTAGCATTTAATTAAACAAACTGGTAAAAACAAAAAATCCAATAATGTCAACAGTAGTGAGTTAATAGATTATTGAAATAATCGTTAGTAATCGATTAATTGTTCACTGGAGTATAGAGACTAAAACATGCCTTTGGCTGACAGAGCGACCAATTCAGACCAGTAATTATAATAAAATTGTAAAATATATATATATATATATATATATATATATACACATTTTGCATTTAAGATGGCAACAAAATTTTCTCCGTCAATATGCTCGATCCAGAACTCCTCAAGTGGAAAAGAGTTAGGTTCACCCAGTTTAAATTCTGAAAAAGCAACCTTTTGATATTCAATTATTAATAGTGTTGTGCGATGCCATTGTTTGGCCCCAATACCTGGCTGTGCAGTATCGGCCGATACCATACCGATACCATCTGTTTGAAATTGATGTGTGTGTGTATATAGGAAGAACTGCAAACTACTTGGATGTAAAATAATTGCCATCATGGCTTTGTCAAGCTGCTGCCTACCTTTGTGAAGCAACAAAAACACTAATACAAAGTGAATCCAGTAGAACTTTTTATTGCCTACCTGGAATGGGTGACAATAGTTGAATAAACTTTTGGCTCTCAAAATGGTATTGGTGCCCTATCTGTTTGTACTCGCCAAATATGATAGTATCATTTAAGTACAGTATAGGGGCCCTGTCCAATACTGATATCGGTGCAACACTAATTATTAATCAATAAATTGAAAAAATAATAAACAGATTAATTGATTAGCAAAATATTCATACATTTCCGCACTAGTGAGAATAAGGGACTATTTGTTAATGGGAGATGCTAAAAAGTACTACCGATATAAACCCGAACTACACTAAATCATTAATTTTATCTCATTTGTTAACCGCACTGGATTATAGTATGTTAAAAATAAGTCATGCATAATTATTGGGGAAATTTGGTACATTTTCATGAACATAGATGAAAAAAAAGCAAAAGCCAATTCATGGAGTGGCTTCCTCACAGCCTGTTTGTTTAGTTTAGGGGACAAGTTATAAACGAGAGGAAGAGGACGTCCCTGCTCCCTCTAACAGTTTAAACTTGCCACCTTTTGTTATTATTTTGTAGCTCAAAACTCAGCGGGTAACAAGACGAGTCCCTCACTTAACCACACTGCAGTTTAAGAAAAGCACAGACAAATGTATACTGTCTCAACACAAACGCTGAATTACATAAGATTGTGAGGTTGGTAAGAGCCAGCTACTGAACGATGCATGCAATAGTGATGCAATGGCGGGTTTCAGCTTGACCCTTAGGAAAGAAAAGTGGACGTTGGAGAAGAGGGAAGCATAGATGTGGTGACATGTCAGGAAGTCCTCCCATCATACCAGATGTTTCAGAATTGTTTCTTAGAAAACATTACTCAACTCCACTAAAGTAGTCCCCACTGTTTGTACATTGAGCAACAAACAGAGTAAACCATACCTAAGCAAATAAGGGTGTGAAAGTAGCCCATATGTGAACAGGAGTTGTTTGCATACAGAAGGGAAAAAGGAACCAGCTAGAACTGCACTTAAGCTCTGCCACTGTTTGTGGTATTCATGTACAGGATAGCTTGGGAACCTTAGGATTTTATCTTTGCTTTTTGTAGATGATGTGGCTGTATTGGCCTCTTCAGGCCATGAACTTCAGCATCTAGTTGAGCGGTTCGCTGCCAAATGTAAAGCAGCCACATTGAGAGTCAGTTCCTCTACATCCAAAGCCATAATTCTTGACCAAAAAAAAAGAAGATGGGCTGCCCCATCTGGTTTGGGGGTAAGTCTCTGCCTCATGTTGAGGATTCTCTGCGTGTTTGTATGTCATAGTGAAAACTCTCTGCTCTTCTTCACCCTCATGTCCCTCCGTTGTCGGACAAACTTGCCCCCACTTCCTCACCGCCTCAGCTGTATCTAGACCCCCAGCAAGTTCCTGATTGTCCCTCTTGCGCTGTGGCGTGAAATAACATAGCGCAGACCACGCTTCAATTTTGGGCATAAATAGAAAATATCTGCGACAAGCTCACTGCGACACACTGCTGCTGGGAGAATAACCAGCCCTTAAGGCACAGTCCCATTCCTCTCACTTGGATCTGAGAACACTCTAGTGAGTTCCCTCCACAGTA